AAAATCTCTGACAAAGTGGAAGTATTTGACAACTTTGGAATGAGATGTGACTGATGAATTAGCATGTTCAACGCACCTTATCAGACATGGATGCAACTAACAACAACACAAATGGCTGCATTTTATTCAGGTGTGATTGGCTTGCTGAACTTGGCCCTTGCAAACCTTGGTAGTGTGCACCACAGTCTCTGCTAATTATACACATTTGTACACCTCCAAAACAGGGTTACATTTTTACCTGTTCTATTAGCTTTACCTTTTCTCATAAAGTATTTATTTTGCTACTTTTTATGGAATTCTGAAAAATGACACCATGATTTCATTGGTATCTTTGACTGTAGTCAAGAGTAGGCTAAAAACTGAGCACATCATCATTCAACAAAGATTTATTTTAAGAACAGAATACTAGACCCCAAGATGGCGTTTGTTTATTTAAATGGAAGTTACTCACCAGAGAATGCTACAGACACATTCTCTTTGTAGTGTACGTGACATGCCCAAACAAACCCTGCCAACCACGAGTACAAGACAAACCCAACAACGGGACGGTTATCTGAACCCTGCTACAATGCAATGTTGTAGTGAATAAAAATGAGGCCAAATGCAGCAGTAATCCATACCATTGCCCTTACAGTAACCTTAACCGCCTGTCTGTTGACTCATTACTTAATAGCTATATGCTAACTTTGCATTTGCTTTAAGGCTTCTGGACCAAGGAGCCAAGGGGACTGATAGCAGACTGACACATAGGTATGATGGGTAAGTCATGTCGCTGCTGCAGCCACAGCTCTACCTACTGTGCTCACCAAGTGCACACACCAAAAGAGGTTTTCTTTCTTCCTGGTTAAATTCAGTTGTTGTGCAACCCTTCGCACTTGTACATTTGCTTGCTGCACTTAGATAACATCAGCAAAATGGGAAAGCTTTTCTGTTCTTTCCTTGTTCTTACCTTGCTTTTGTTGCGCATTAATTAAGATGCTAACACCCACTGCTAGCCTTGTAGTCACATCACTTAAATAGCCGAAATAACTACTTTTGCACATTTAGAAAAGTTCAACATGTTAAACCAGATACTAAAGCTCATTTTTATTTGCCTGAATCAATCGTATTACTCTTCCTAATGTACTGTATTCTATTTAGATGTAACCATCAGAGATTGCAGCCTTCCGGCCATTTTGTGGTTAGTTGACACTACCTATAGTTCTTTTCACCAAGCAAGGGATTTTATATCTGTCAGAAATTCCTGATATCTCAGACTCTGAATTATAGGAGGCTAGTGTGATTGTATACAACTGGCAGCACACATATCCAGCTCTCTTAATACGCAGAGCAGATATGTAATATGTAAATAACTGGCACTTATCTCAGCTTCAATGACTCAGTTATTAGATTACCAATTATTAGATTACCAAAATTACAATAAAACAAACCAAGGAGCCCAGAGAAAGAACAGGGCCTTTGTGTTCTGATCATTTTCCTGTACTGCTAAACATTCATGTAATCAAAGACGACAAAAGAAAATGTGTAACTCTGCCATCAGTGCAACTGCTTCTGACAAGGGTCAGGTCTTTGATATAGAAACAGACGAGGAGAAAGAGGAGCGCGCTGGGGGCATGAAGGAGGATCTCTGAAATCCTCCCAGTACAAAAGGATGGACAGGGACCCTGCTGTGTTAGGAACATTGTATCCTTGGATTAACTCCACTCCACATTCACAGTCCGTTCACTGCAGCCGCTAGAGCTGTACACACCTGTATGATGCAGAGTGAACTGTGATCCAACGCTCCTTATCCTTCCTTCATTTTCCCCATCTGCCTATGAGAATGGTGTCTTGAGTGGTTTCCTGAAGTTTATATGAGTGTTGTGGAGGAAAACAATGCATTGACTGATACTTAGAAGATGAGATACGTGGCTGTGGGAATGGGGGTGCACCATGGTCTCCTACATGCTTGAAAAGGGTGGGGTGAGAAAAGGGGTTCTTAGTTGGTTGCCGTCCGCAACCTCACTGCTAGATGCCAATAAATCCTCCATACTGCTCCTTTAACACCAAATAATCTATGGATTTGTGTACATTCTTGGTTTGTCTTGTCAATTCAGTTTGGATTTTTGCTAATGGAATTTCTTTCATCTATATGCATATGTCTCACTGTCTGCACAATGACCACCAGCTCTTACAATCAGTTTACCTCAAACAAACTGCCATTATTGTTGCTCAACACATTAAATGTATAACTTCCTGTACAGCAGTGCTAATTCACCAGGTAACAATAATTTACAGATGAGTTTTCACCATATTTACACAAACTGTTTGCACTTGATGCATTCTGCTGTTTTGTGTGTAGGTAGACAGAATGATGCCATTTGGGGTATTTAAAGTCCAGAAATGGCACTCTTTCCTCAAAACACAAGTTGGTGAAATAGAAAGACAACCTTGCCCGTTGCGTTTGAGGGACTTGCACCAGAAGGTTCACATGAGCTGTGTTGGATATTTCAGACATTTTATGTTTAAAATTCTAGTACAGCAGGTGTTGGAATCCCTCTCTCAGCCCCATATGTCATCATCGCCTCCTCTATGTTTAGCCATCTCTCTACAGGAACACAATGCACACAGAATGTTCATCACCAGCAGCTTGTGTGTGTCACACATCTCTGTCTCTGAATATTCATGTATTTACCTAAAATCAGCTACATTTAACACCTTTAATTTCAGCAGAAATTATGGCTTCCTTTTAATGTACTATATCCATTCAGACTGAGGTTCATTTATTTACTTTTCTGTTCTGTTCCTTCTACACAGCCTCACTGAAGACATTACTTGCCTTGTTTCATCCAGCCAATGCAGAAATGCTAGAACATAATACAAAGCTAAAAGAAAGTAAAAACACTTCACCACAGTCACCCAAATCTGAGTATTTGCTCTAAGGGTATGAGAAAGCAGCTTCTAATTTTCTCGGAATTAGTTCAAAACAGCTTTGTTCCAGCCCCAGCGCTATCTGTAGATCTGCATCAGCTTCTATCTGATATAGTATATGCAAGAAGCTTGTCAGACAATTAGAGCCTGTTACATGCACTTTCATGTCCATTATCATCAATGGAACGAAGAGCCTTTTGTATAATAGCTGACTTAAAGTAGCCAATTTTGAATGGTGTCTTTGTTTATGGAGTTTCTTTCAAGGTCAAATGGAAAGTGAGCCCCAGGCTAAACAAATACACCATGTTAATTATTCAACGTGAAATAAGGTGACACCCAAACCTAAAGTTTATTAACTTCATATCAGTTTCCTGGCAGCTTAAAAATACACCAAATAATGAGTTTTATACATAAATGCCTTGAGGCATGAGGGAAATAATATTAGTAGGTAGTCCGACTACGGAAATAGAAATGCTGCTGCTGCTGCTACTAATGACAATACTGGTAAATTCAGATAAAAAAAAATCGAGTTATCATCTCAAAATTTTGCATAATCTTAACTCCAAGTCATTAGATAGAACCAAGTCACATTTTATAATGATGTCATTTCATATATATATAATATTATATATGATATATTTTAAATTTAAGACCTGATTCAGTCTTATGTAGCCTTTTATTAGTCCATAAATCCAACCTTGGAAAAATAAGGCTGGTTTTGGCTGATGAAGAGCAATGTGGTCTGCATTCTCGCTACAGGCCAGATGCAGTCAGTTGTTTTATGTGATCGTTAAAATTTGTTTAAATCCATTTACTCTGTTTATTGTCATTAACCTTTAACATCTCTTCATGTGCTGAGCATCCCTTTTTTCTAGTTTGAACAGGTTGTGAATGTCAACAACAAAACCAGCCTGAGACGTGTTCGTATTTATTGTCAGTGAAACCCTCAATTTCCACACCATTGCATTTATAAGTAGGTTTCATTTCACATTACAGCACTATTCTAATATTAGTACCCTCTAACTGTGCATGTTTGTTACAAATTAAAAACCTTTACAGATAAGTCATTTTTATACTCAGTCATTTAGCGGGGCATTGCCTACAAAGTATATTAAAATATTGACTTAGTTACCTTAAGACAAAAGCCTAAGGATAATCTTTTAAAGAAGTGAGTAATGATAATCTGACCCTGATTAATCAACGTGCACTCTCCCAGATTACCTTTCATTACTCTGTGTCTTAAGTGACAGCGTAAACACAATCACGCAGCAGCTTTCTGTGAAGAGTCCCCTTTCATTCATGAAACCCATCAGAGCTCGGCAGTAAATCAGGCCCTAAAGATTAATGACTAATCGTGCCGAACGATAAATGACCTTTCCCTCTTGACAAAACAAACTGCAGTGTGTAGTCCTTACTGGGCGGCTACACCTCGTGCCCTCCGTAGTGTGCACATCCCTGCTGCTTTTAACCCACTCACACACATAGTACTTAACCTTGGGGGAATGTTTATGGGATGTAATAGTCTGTGGTTGCACCTTTAGAGGTGATGGATTGATGCCATGAAAAAAACAACCATGGTTAACTACATTGAGCTGAGACATTGTCCTAACCCACTCTGTCTGTCAATAAAAGAAAAGCTTGAATTCTTTAATCAGCGTCATCACAAGCATTCAGCCTTACGGTGCTCAAGGGTCAGAGGGTCACGGGTTATAGACAAGCGATCGAGACAAATACTGCAGGGATGAAAACAATTTACAAACATGTCCCCTCTTCTTCTTAGTGTCCGATTGTCTCAGCTGAATTTGGAAATAATTAAAAGGGAATTCACTTTTGAATAGTGGCCATCTATTGCGCTCTCAAGATCTGCTACATTACCAACGTTAGAGGTACTTTCCTCTTCCTGGAGAGTGTGGCCTCTGTACAATAAATTTCGTCTTCCTTAATTCCCGCCTGTCAGTCCTACTAACAAAAGTAACAAGTGTCAGTTTTCTCTTCTATGACGAAAAAGCAAAACATTCTGTATCAAAGGTCAGAGGTCAAGCCACTTCTTTCCCCCTCTATCTTTTTCCTTCTCTGCAGGGTCTTCTTACCTGTGTTGGGGTGAGATTGCGGGTGCCGATAGGGGTCCCTTGGGTGCAGGTTGAGGTTGGTCAGCTTATACGTTTCCCTCTCTCAGACTCAGTGTGGTTTTTCGGGCTATGTGGAGGCTGAATGCAGCTGCTCTTATAGGGACCCACCCCTCCCCTTCAACCTCCTCCTCTGATTCTCTCTCTCTCTCTTTCAAAACTCCCTCTTTCATCACAGAGGGAGGGAGGGATGGAAATTAGAAAGAAGGAGGGAGGAGAGAGGAGATGGGGGAAGAGCAGGGACAGGGTGTGATGTGGGGAGGGAGAGGAGGAGAGAAAAATAAGAGTTAGGATAGGAAGAAAAGTAAATAGCCAAAGGAAGGAGGAGGAAAAGAGAGGAGGCAAGATAGACACTGGCAGGAAAAAACTAGAATTACCGCCTCGCTATCGTACACCTCCGCCAACCAGTCAAGATGCAGTTATGATTTACATCCATGTCTTTTCATATGTAGCCATGACAGTAACCAATGCTTCAAATATGAATGTTGCTGCAAAGAAGCTACAAATTCTAAATACAGATGCTTCACACACATCTTCAACCCAGCGGCACAGAAGATCTATACAACCCTAACCCTGTGACCCTGTTAGTGTCACCAATTCAGTCTCCCCTTCTGTTCCTGAGTTATGGCATTGAATAATGACCAGAAAAGTGTTTTTTCAGAACATTATGATGTGACAGTGAAATTGGCCTTTGACCTTTTGGATATGAAATGTCATCATTATGTCCTATTAGACATTTGCGGGTTGTTATAATTACTGTGTGAGATTCTTGAGTTGAGTTGAGACAATTGTGCCAAATTTGAAGAAATTCCCTCAAAGTGTTACTGAGTTATCGAACTCACAAGAATAAGATGGATGCAAAGTCACAGTGACTTTTCACATTTGGCCAACAAAATCTAATAAGTTCATTCTTGAGTCCAAGTGGACATTTGTGCCAAAATTGAAGAAATTTCCTCATGGTGTTCTTGAGATATCGTGCTCACTAGAATGAGACAGACCAGGTCACAGTAACCTTTTTCTTTTCCTTTGGTTTTTGACCACTAAAATCTTCATTCTTGAATCCAAGTGAACATTTGTGCCAAATTTGAGGAAATTCCCTCGTGGCTTTCTTAAGATAATACATTCATGAGAGTGGGATGGATGTAGATGCGCAGAGGCACAAAAAGAACTGTACAGTGACCCAGCTGCCATTTTGAAAACAGTCAAGCAAAAACCAAGCACTGCCCACCAGCAGGAGCACACTTTCTCATTCTACAGCTAAACAGTACACTCAGTTGTGCATTTCAGCTGATTATTACTTGTATACTATATACTACTAACTATCAATCCCCTCATTAATACACTGCATGAACTGTAACGTCCATATAAAACACAACGAAAATGTATTTATGTGCAGCGTTCTTTTCAGGAGAGGTTGGGGGACATGTGGCTGTCACTCCTCCACCATGTTGTGGGAGTGACAGTCAGATGTCCTCCAACCTCTCTTCAGGCAGTGGCAGGACTGTATTACTGTCATTCTGCTCACAAACAAAAATCAGAGCTTGAAACAAAAGAATCACGACGAGCGTGAGTTTCTTATTATGCATCTGTCCGGCCTTCATTATCAGAAGGATGTGTTCTGTTTCTCTCTAATTAGGGTTATTTTATTTTGGCCATGTATTTGTTATGATGCAGGATGAAACTCAAAATGAAACACACAAGTTCTGTAACAATAAAAAAAAACTTTGAGGAAACAGGAGATACAAGGTTAACTGAAAGCAGGGATGTGTGGCTGTAATATAATGAATCAATTTATATCTCTGTGCGTACAGTAAAGTGTGGCATCTCTTTACATAAGAGAGAAGAATAGAAAATCATTTTCTTTTTTAAAAACTTAGAGCTTACACGAAGAAGGAAGGACGAAGATTTGCAGCAGGTCCTTGGATCTATATGACAGAACAGGTCATTTGTCATATTTCAGAATGTTTTTATCATTGTGATATTTGGTTCTCTGCTGAACTGGCCAAACAATCTAGTATTCACTTTTACTTTTTTAATTAAGTGTTTAAATCCAACAACAAACAAAGAAATATTGGTTGTGTATTTGGTCAACAGTCAAGTGCAAAGAGAGATTTTGATTGTGATAGTATTTGAACCACTCACTTCTTATTACATGGTGTATGTTCATTGATGGTTGCATGTGTGTGCTGAGCATACACATGTCCACCTATGCGCACTTTGTTATTGTGAAAGGTTTGCTTTCATCAGTGTCTCTGGTGATTTGCTTACTGTGAAGGCCATATAAAAAGATCATTTTCATGCTTGTCAAACCATTTACTGCCTCGAGCACCATATGGAATCATTCAATATGGGTCTCCACTCATTTGTTCAGGTGTTCCCTTTCATCCGTCATCAATCTGCATTTTAAAGATTAGGCTAAATCTTCCGATTCTACAGTGCATGTTGTATTTTTGTACAATAAATCATAGTCATAAATGGCAGAATGAATTATTCAGATGGGGGATTTTCAAGGAGCTGAGGCAACCTAAAATAGGTTTTGTCAAGTGGTCATTCTTCATGAGGATTCATGTCAACCTGGTGGGTTAGTTTACTATTTCTGGAGTATTTCCTGTCTCAGGTTGTGTGCATCATGTTTGGTTTCCTTAAGTCAACAGAGGTTTTGTGAGATGGGATCTAAAAACTGCAGAAGGCTCTTCCTCTTCAGTCTGCGTACACACACACCAACAAACAAGCCCTGTTTTTCTGACAGACAGGCCAGCGGACGACGTTTCCTATTCTTTTTAAAGACAAAGTTAGACATTGTGGGCAATATGCCTCTTTTCTTTTTAAATTCACTTTCTTGCTCAGAGATAGACGGGAAGATTAATCCCTCTCTCACATCTGTCCATTACGTATGAAGCTGGAGTGAGAACCAGGAGATGGTTGGCTTAGCTTAGCACAAAGACTGGAAACAGGGGAAAACAGCTGGCTTTGTGTAAACATACAAAAGTCCGCATACCAGCACCTGTAAAGCTCACTGATTAACATCTGTTATCCAATTTGTTATATCCATACAAAAAACAAAGACTGAACATGTAAAATAGAGTCTTGGTGTCACAGTGAAGTTTGTGAGGCAAACAGCAGAGAAGAGTTGATGGAGCCACTTGGATGAGAGGTTAAACATCTTCAAGAGCTCAAACTCAAATCCAGTTGCATAACGATATAGCACTTCAAATTACCATGACCTGGATGACTGAGAATCTTCCCCAACAACAACAGAGACTCAAGTACTGCTTCCAACCAAGAAATAGTCTGGTATATAACCCCAAGTAAAACCATAATTATTTCATTACACAATTTTTTGTATGGATTAAACAAGTGAGATATATTAAGAAGGAAACATTAGAGTTGCTGATAGGTAGATTTTTTTGACACTTCAAGTAACTGCCATAGTTTAAAAAGCAAAAAAGTCTGCAGGTCTGTGGATGTGTCAAACAAACTCCAGGTGAACGCCGTTTGTTTCCCATGTGAAAACAAAATCAATCAAGTTATTTTAACAACAACATAATGTGTGTGTGTCATGTGATGTATGGATTTAATCAGCAGAAATTATAACTTTCCCTTTGAAAATGGAAGTTTATTTTGAAAAGACACAATACATGTTATACGCAGAGATTGACACATCGTCCCTCAACGTCCCTCAAAACTGATGCTAAAGGGGTACCTAGGGTGTCATAAGCCCCGTTTCCACCAAACACTTTCGGTATGGTAACTTTGGAACCAAAAGTAAGCCTTCAGACATGGTACATAGACCCTGGTGTTTCCACTGCAAACAGTACCCTTAAATGTGGGCAGAGTTGTTGTCACTCACTGCTCTGCCCAGCACTCACTGTATTTCTTCCTTTATCAGTCTGCACCTTGTTTATCATCCACAGAACAAAGCTGCACACCAACATTTTCAGAACATAAGAGAACAGGCTGCAGTGAGAGTCTCTCTCCATGGGATATTTAAAAGTAGCAGGTTTGTGCATTTAGTCCTTCTCAGGCAACCTCAGGGGTTTAGTGTTCCCGGAGCCCACAGGAATTACTTTTTTTTTCTCAGAGTGAGGATTAGAATATATGCAGTTCACATAATCTGGTCGAAATTAATATATATTTTTAAACGCATGAAGATACACTCATTACTAAAAGTGTATGTCATCCAAGAGAGACAATAAAAACTGAAGTAATGGTCAAAGTTGTCACATTGAAATTTAAGGTGTGTTGATTGATTCATGTTGTAAACTCATTCATTGAGTTGCATTACAAGTAAAAGTTCCACCTTAAAAGTCACCGGCAGTCAGCTCAGTGAATTAAAGCAGCTGTGCGGAACTTTTAGTTTTCGTTGATTATAGCGCCCCTTTGGTCGAAGCGGTATGACACCCACAGCCTGGTGTCGTAAAATTCCGACGGCAGCCGGCAATTACCGCATGCATTTGTTTTGGAGAGCGAGAGGATTAACTAACGTCAGGTCAGTCCAAGTAATTAGTGGAAACAGCAAAATTACTCAGTAAATTCTCCTGTCATGTTTCTGTTCTTATCTAATCTAATCTGTTGTGTATTTTGAGCTACTAAGGCTACAGTAGTAGTGTGAGCCTCAAGTTATTCTGGGTAATGTAGTAACCGAAGCAGCCGTGTACGTTCGGTGTAAGGAGGAATAAACAGTTAATAACTCATCTGCTGAGTCCGCATTATTATGTGAAAAGAATACTCCGACGATTTGGGAGTTATGCCCTTTCTCTATCATTTTCATATTGAGACAACATGATGGATATCTTGGCGCTAGTAGGGGGTCAGTACATCTTGCGCGGAGGGATACACCGGTGAGTAACAGCTGCAGCTGGCTCTGGGACAGGTACGCTAGGTCACTCGGTAAAAGTAGACAAAGAGACGACACTGACGATATTACTCACCCGACTGAAAGCTGTCCATCAGCTCCTGCAGGCCTGGGGCGTTTTTTCCAGTTCATCTTAGGAACATGAAAAAAAGTTTCAATCACGCCAGGATTAGTGATTGCTGCAAAGTTTTCACTCCTTGTGATGCACTCTCTGCGGCGCTTTTCCTCCTGATGA